TCGATCTGTCTGTCTGTCTATCTATCTGTTTTCATTAATTAATAGATTTTTTCACATCAACTCCTATTTTTGAATTTTGCATTGATGCTTCACACACAGCTTCAGTGAAATACAAATTATATTAAAGCGGATCTGTTAACTTTAGGGGTCTTTGCATATTTTGCAAAGACCCCTGATGATGACATTGCTGCTTGGAATGTGGTGCAGTAGAAGTAAGCTGCACTTTCCTGATTCTTGTCCACTCATGTCTACAGAGGATTCAGTAAGACTGCGGAAGCCTCCATACATCATACCTGACCCTCACTGACAAATCTAGGCTGCATAAGCTCCACCTTTTGTCAAGTTTTATCCAAATTAATCCAAAGAAAGATCCCCAGTTCATTGTTTTTCGCCAATTTTGCCTGTTTTCAGGCTTTACTAATAAACAATGTAGTCACTCGTTTGTCCCATATCTTTTAAGTGCATTGGATTTTCAGTTAAATGCAGTCAATGTGAGCATTTCATAAATTGATCTGTATGAAATGCTCCTGATAATCTGCAGAATAAACTGTGGAAAAGGTTGTCGCTTTATAATAATAATAACCAGGGCTGTCTTTAACACAAGGAAAACAGGGTGACCCAAAGCAGCTGCCCCATTTGCCCTCTGTTCACAACAATTTTTTTTCTTTTAAAAATTGTTGTGGGCAGCGGGCGCGCACACTAAGGGGGCCCATCGGGGGGCACTTAAGGCCACCAGGTGGGCATGTTTGAGCAAGGGTCAGGTCGGACGCTGTGGCCCTGTAACAGCACGACCGAGCCCCTTTTTACATTGGCAGCATGGGAGGAAGTGACAGCCTGTCACTTCCTGACACAGTGACTGGAGCTGCACAGAAGGTTGGATGAGGCAGTGACAATGGGGCTGAGCCAACAACCCCAGCAAACAACCCCAGCCAGCACAAAGGACCCCAGGGAAGCCACCCTCCTGCAAAAAGTAAGAAACTAAAGGATGGCTATCAAATTGTAAATTTTGCATGTGTGTCAGTGTATGTGTCAGTGTATGTGTGCCTGAGTGTATGTGCCCGTGTGTCTGTCAGTGGATGTGTGTGTGTGTCAGTATCTCTGTGTGTGTGTGGGTGTGTATCGGTGTGTCTGTTTGTGTGTGTGTGTCTCAGTGTGTGTTTTAGTATGTTTGTCTGTATGTGTGTGTCAGTATGTCTGTCAGTATATGTGTCAGTATGTTTGTCAGTGTGTCTGTGTGTGTGTGTCAGTATGTCTGTCAGTGTATGTGTCTGTGTGTGTGTCAGTATGTCTGTTAGTATATGTGTTAGTGTGTTTTTGATAAAGCCTATCCAAGGAGAAACGCATTAAGTGTATTGTTTATAAATTTTTTATCACTATTTTATTTTATTATATATTGTACTACTTTTATTATTTTTTTATATTAAAGTACTTTTTTAATTGGACCTAACTTTTCTGCTGTTGGATTGTTTGGAGCTGTATCTCTGGTGGGGATCATACCACCCAAACGCTTTGGATTGAGCAAACCGGAACTTGCTCTTTAGCATGTGAGTAGGTTTAACTTATTTATTTCTACTTACACTCCTTTTTACGATGTACACTATTGTGGTCCTGTTTGTTTATCTCCACACATACATGGGCGGAAGAATTTATATTTACACCTGTATCCCTGAGTGGGGATCATACCACTTCAAGCATATCAGAGGAGCCAGGTTTTACGGCTCCATTACACGTGAGTGTACATTTTATAGTTTTTACCTACCCTTGCTTCATAACTCTACATATTTCACCATATACAATTTTTATTTTTTTATTTTTTTATGAGGATACCCCCTACCACACCGATAACTCGAAGAATTACTTCTGCACTTGATCCATAGGCGGGGATTATTCCGCCCAGGCGCATACGCTGGAGCTGTATTAAGCTCCAGGAAAGTGTGAGTGCACATCTTTTATTTTACCTATCATCACTAATCACTACAGTTTTAAAATACTACACTATTATTTCTTCTCTGGTTCTCTCCACATATACCTTGTCAAGGATTACTGAAGTGCTGCACCTACCCCCCTGTTTTTATCCAGTTTTCTGATCGGAAGAGACTCTCTATTGGTGTACAAGCTGCTTTTGGACTATTATCACTTTGCATCCACGCTGAATTTATTTTTGTGTGATTGTGTATCTTTATTTAGTTACAAATAGTTTTTATTGAGCAAAGTAAGAGAGACAGACACCTTTAAAACCTCGTTTTTGTGGAATATCATTAAAGAATCTATATAGATGGAAGGAAAGAATGTCATGTTGCCATGATGTTAATGTTGCCTCTAATTGCAGCTTAGAGAGAAAGAAAATCAATGGCTGAAAACCTTCTGCATGCTTCTGTTGCCTTGTAGCTTGGAGACGTATCTTTAGTGCCTTTTTGCTTTCCAGGATCACTCAAGACTCTTCAATAAAAGGCTAGTCAATCTTACGCGAGACAGCAGCTGAAAGACAACTATCCCCGTGTACTGTCCTTCCATCATCAGCCGGAGCACAAAGCAATTTTACAAAGCAGAACAAATTCCAGGAAAACTTCCAAACGCTTGCAGAATTGCGATATCACTTACTAGATGGCTTAAACTTAATTAGACTTTTTTTTTTAAAAACTCATTTAATTTTATTTCCTTTTATTTCTTCAATGCCACACAAAGGTTACAATCGATATTGCGCGTGTATGATGCACATTGCACATGTGATTCACTAGAAGCGGGCTTTAAATTGGGAAATATATATCCACTACAAGAGCTTGGCATTGCCAGTGTAATCTACTTTACTTATAATTTGAAAGAAAACTAGCCAAGCCAAGACCTTGAATTCATCTTCAGGAGGTTTGTTTTATTCCTTAGATCAGGCTTCCCCAAACTCTGGCCCTCCAGATGTTGCTGAACTACAACTCCCATGATTCTCAGCCTATCTATTTCATTCATAGAATCATGGGAGTTGTAGTTCAGCAACATCTGGAGGGCCAGAGGTGGGGGAAACCTGCCTTAGATTATGCGTTTTCACAAAGCGCTAATGGGGTTATTTACTAAATTGCAAATTTGATCCAAATCAACTAAATTTAGTTAAAATAGCCAAACCAGATTTGCAACTTTTATATTTACTACAGGCAACCAAATGACAAAATGATCACATCTCATTCTGTGCATTCTGGTGTCTGCGTTAAGATCGTGAGAATCTGATACAAAATGAAGGAATTACATATTTATCAAACACTGAAATTCAGATGAAATCACTCTAACAAATCCGTTAGAAGGCAAAGTTGTATATTAAATTCACCTGCATTTTTTAGATAAACTGATAGGAATCCACTGTATTTGTCCACAGACACTAGTGTCCAGCAGCCAAAGGGTTAAAATATGTAAAAACCAGTTCAATCAAATAGATTTAATGCATGATATTTATAAAACGATCATTCTACCTCCGGCAGCTTGCATTAACCAGTCTGGAACCAAAATTCTGGGTTGGGATATGTTAATTCTGTGGATATTATATGAACAGACATTCCCTCTCTGGCTGAGAGCTGTTAGCCAACAACCGAACAGCAGGCTCAACATCTGTTGTACATACGTCAATGTTTGGGTATATATTGCAGTTTCATATATACCTATCATTAATAAGAGGACGTATTTCCCGGGATAACCCCGTATAAATTAATTTAGTATAACTAATATCTATAATGGAGTACAACTGGGTTATGTACAGTATCGCATTAGCATATATGACTCCTTGTATTAGTTGGTCCAGAGAAATTTCTGAAGACATGCAAAGTATGTAATAAATTCCGTACGCAATGTAAAACAATACAAAACAAAACAAAATAATAAGACTAAAATTGATAATACTGGTTATAACATGAAGAAAAGCATGAAAACATAAAAGCTGGATTGTGGTTGCAGATAACAATGGACTACTGGCCCGAGATACCTAGCGATACATCGTCACTGACCATGCTACGATATCTACCACAATATATATCCTAAAGGAGCATGACCATTTCTTGCGACTCTGGTGTGTGGCATGGGGTGTATTTATTTTTTTAGAACTATATAGTTTAGTGTCCATCGTTTCAAAGATTAGAAAATATAGCCGTGAATGTAGACCTGCTTTGAGGGTTTGTGTGATCTGTGCATTTTTGAGATACCGGGTACTTGTACATTATATTGGACTTAATGGAGGTACAGTAACTCATTACCTGAATGGTTTTGGTTGCCTAAGCAGGTCTCCTTACTAAAGAGTATTTAAACTGTATACCCCCACTGAGCAACAGTAAACCACAGGGTGCATTAGAAGGTGGTATTTACTGATAGGCATGGATTACAATACACACAGACTATAATACATGTAATTTGTTTTTTAAATTTTAAGTTATAATAAAAGTAAATCACATACAGTATCAGTTTTACATGTTGCATTCTGTAAGCATCTAAACACATTTCGTGCTTCTATTATTGTTTTTAACCTAATTGCATAGAACATGTTTTATTTAAGATGACTGTATGCTTGCTTTGCAGAGTCCATGTATCAGCATTATCCACTAAAGTGTAAATTGTTATGAATTCCGAGTGAATTCAATTTTAGGGAAATGTAGCCAAATTTATTTTGAATCCTCCACAGCTCACACTTTAATGATTACCCATCTTTTCCCTTTCATATGTTTGTATGATTTATTTAAGGAGTAATTCTGCTTCAGCTGTTATCAATATACCCACTAGATGGCGCTAGAGTAGCACACTGTGTAGTGTATGTGTGTAGTTGCTGGACCAGCGCTGAGCTGGAACTGAGCATATGTGGTCCTGATGCTAGCAGAGGGATGGTGAATGTGTTACAGTGAGGGTCTCATGTTTGCTCTGGGAGCTCAGCACTTTGGTTTCCTTCATGGGACAGGATTATCTGGATTGACCAGCACACCATCTGCTCCCTCTCTGTCTTTTCATGTGGTTTGCTACCTGAAGGAGCCAGGACTATGAGTACAGAGTGCTCCAGCTACACCACAGCAGAGAAGGTGTTGGTTGGGGCTTTTAGCTGTCCCAAGGCAGACAGTGACCTGGGGGCCATTTATTGCTGTGGATTTAAGGACATCAAGTACTGCTGTGATGACCCCAATAGCTTTTTCCCTTATGAACACAGCTATATGTGGTGGCTGAGGTAAGAATCCAAGGACTAGGGACAGTGTGGCTGGTGACAGATTGCAAGCTCTTCTGCCAACATTTGCATAGCCATTAGTGCTGAAGTCATATCTTTGTAAATACTTTGTTTTCTCAGTGGGCTGGAATATTCCTCACTGTACAGAGCACTTACACTACCACTACACACATTACCCTCAGGCAACAAGGCAAAATGAAATGCAATATTTACTGCAGGTAGAAATACAGATAAAAAAAAGACAGACATACACACACACACACACTCTATGTACACATGCACACACACTATATGTACACACGTACACATTACATATATACACACACTATGTACACATGCACACACACTATATGTACACACACACACACACACACACACACACACACTCTATGTACACATGCACACACACTATATGTCCACATGAACTCATTACATACACACACACACACTCTATGTACACATGCACACACTATATGTACACACACACACACACACACACTCTCTATGTACACATGCACACACACTATATGAACACATGAACACACTACATATACACACACACACACACACTCTATGTACACATGCACACACACTATATGAACACATGAACACACTACATATACACACACACACTCTATGTACACACACACACACACTCTATGTACACATGCACACACACTATATGTACACACACACACACACACACACACTCTATGTACACATGCACACACACTACATGAACACACTACATATACACACACACTATATGTACATATTTAGATATGGTTCCATACATCTATTTCTGGCAATGCAAACACAGACAAACACATCTATATATAACTAGGCAGACATGCACATGTATCTATATATAACTCTGTAGTACACAGCAGCCATTCAGACAGAATTGACTCTATACAGCTACACACAGTATCCGTAGCCCCTCCATCACAATATTGTCCCATACCACACAGCTCACCATTGTGTGTGACTTTCTAATGCTATGTTCCTCACTGAAAGTACACAGTCAGTAATTAATATTTATATATAGAGCATTATGACACAATAAAAATGGTCTTTATTAGAGAACAATACCTGAACACCATGCCTTGTACCACCTGCAGGTCAATAGTTCTCCAAAGTTGATTCCGATGTCCTTTATCAGACATTGATGGAGAATCTGTATTAATATTGAGACAGTAGTTTATCAGCATGTGTGTGAGGGACATGTGTTTTGAGGAAGTGTGTGAATTGATTGCAGGCAAATCAATATCCTAATTGCATACTGCATGTTACTGGTGTAGACATAGAACATATATAGTCAAGGCAGGGCTTGTTCTACAGTTAATACATGTCAAACTGTTAGATATAATACATGCAATACTCTCTACTGTATGATGCCAATACAGAATGCTCATGGGCTGCCAATGGGTATGGCAAGGGGGCACTTGCCCCTCTCTGGAATTATGCCCATAGGAATTGTGTTCGCAAGTTCGCTGTCCAACAATTAAAACGCTTGTATAGCTGATGGCTTGGAAATGTCATACTACACATGAGTTGTATGGGGGACTGAGACTCCTAAAATATTAATTATAACGTCTGGGGAATTGGACGTTTCCTTGATTAGATGTTTTGCCAGCCTGTAGATATTTCTGTAAACACACATGTTGGATTTTTTCCTTCCCGAACCAGCACCTCTGGGTTTTTGCAGCATGTTTTGTTCAATTTATTCAGTAACCAGCCCTCTAAGCCAGGGGTGTCCAAAAGGACCCCCAGATGCTGTAGAACTACAACTGCCATGATGCTTTGCGTGTCTTTGTATTCTTTTAGATCGACAAGGCATCATGGAAGTTGTAGTGTTAAAACATCTGGGGATCTACCTTTTGGGCACCCCTGCTCTAAGGGACATGACAGATACAAATGTTTTCAAATAATGGTATGCCTTCTGATGAGCCCGTCAAAATAAGTTAACGATCTTGGCTTGCAGTTCCTTAAGCAAGAATACATTGTTCACCATAAGATCAAATAAATTATATATCGCACTTGTTAATAGAATTATATATTTAATTGTTTTAAGAGTTTTTAAGGGAATATTTACCTCTCCCTACTACAGTCACATCTGCCTTGATTCCAGGTTTGTGGATGTTGCAATAGCTGTAACGTACCCCTTGTCCCCGCTACATCACTTCAAAGGATGCACATCTGCTTTCCCCAAAGCATGGCTTCCCCCCACCCCCTTTTTTACGCTGACTGTCTGCCTCATTGGCAGCTCATCGACATGTGAGTGCATAAACATGCCATTCCACTCTTATGATCCACTGTCATTCATGCAATCTGTGCTCCAAGAATAATAACAGCATCTAGCATTGCTGTAAAACTAATCAGGAGAACCACCTGTCAATAAGTTTTTTGCATATATTGTATGTTAAGAATTGATAAGCAGATGCGGGGAAGAGGACATATAATTTAGTTTTTACTAAAATCAATACACTTGCCAGCAATTCTGCCAGCCCAATTTGTAGATACATTTTAATCAAGTCATGTTAGGCATGACAAGCACACACTAACGGGTCACTCTAACCACCATAATCATGTTATCTGAAGTGGTTATGGTGCAAAGACTGTCACGGTACGCTTTATTTTTGAAAATGTTTCAGTCTGGAGCACTGCCCCAGTAAACACCCCTAGTAGCCATCTGAGGAGTGGCCAGTGGAGGTATCCCTAGGCTGTAATGTAAACACTGAATTTTCTCTGAAACCACAGTCTTTACTGCAAAAAGCCTAAAGAGAATGATTATACTCACCAGAACAAAAACAATAAGTTGTAGTTGTTCTGGTGACTATAGTTTCCTTTTGAGTACAGGAGATGAAAACATCTAAAGTAAGTTAACATTTGTCACCTAGAGGTGTGGCTAGGGCTGTATAAACAGACAGAAAAGTGAGTTAACTCCTAAATGGCAGGAAATTGAACAGTTAGACTTCAGAGGTCAATACACAAAAAACGCTTCATTAAACCCAAGCTATTATAGTGACTATAGTATCCCTTTAAATTTGAAATTGATAGTGTTGAATAACCTGCTTTCTAGATATCATGCAATTTAACTCTATAATTTCCTGATAAAGAAAAAAAACATACACCTGTTCTATTTTTTTTACCTTTGACTTTCCTACGTGCATCGATTCGAAAAACGTCACTATCAGATTAAATGCAAGAAGTTGCCTGACTCTGCTGCACTTCAACTCCTATCATGCTCAGTCTTCAGTCCGAGGCTGGTGTGAGTTAAAATATACATCTGATAAAATGCAATATTGATGTTACCACTTGCTAAACAGTTTATGTGGAATATAACTTCAATCAACCTCATCCACAGGTTTGCTGAGCCTGATATAAATATTAAAGGGACACTATAGTCACCTGAACAACTTTAGCTTAATGAAGCAGTTTTGGTGCATAGGACATGCCCCTGCAGCCTCACTGCTCAATCCTCTGTCATTTAGGAGTTAAATCCGTTTGTTTATGAACCCTAGTTACACCTCCCTGCATGTGACTTGCACAGCCTTCCATAAACACTTCCTGTAAAGAGAGCCCTATTTAGGCTTTCTTTATTGCAAGTTCTGTTTAATTAAGATTTTCTTATCCCCTGCTATGTTAATAGCTTGCTAGACCCTGCAAGAGCCTCCTGTATGTGATTAAAGTTCAATTTAGAGATTGAGATACAATTATTTAAGGTAAATTACATCTGTTTGAAAGTGAAACCAGTTTTTTTTTTCATGCAGGCTCTGTCAATCATAGCCAGGGGAGGTGTGGCTAGGGCTGCATACACAGAAACAAAGTGATTTAACTCCTAAATGACAGTGAATTGTGCAGTGAAATTGCAGGGGAATGATCTATACACTGAAACTGCTTTATTTAGCTAAAGTAATTTAGGTGACTATAGTGTTCCTTTAACTTTATTTAACAAATCAGCATTCTAAAGTAGCATTTCCATTTACTGCTCGCTAAAGTGCTTTATGTGTATGAAACATCTCATGTTAATTGCAGTTTGTAAACGTGCCAATTTCTATTTTTAATCAGCACTTTTATACATAATCGCAGTTCCACCTCCCAGGCTGTTAATCTTACAGCTGGGGAGATTGTGTTTCAGATTCCGTTACCTCCACAGGACTAATGGATGTAATGGAAACAGAAGAGGCAGGTGCTCTCAACTACCCGGTGCGCGCCTCCCGTCTCCCCTAAGTCAAAGTGTTTGTGCAGTTTGTACTGCCCTAGGCATGACTCAATCTAAATTTGCCTCACCCCTTCCTGTCAAGGCTGCACCTCTTGATGTTTTAGACCAGCACACACTTTGACTGAGCGACACACGCCGTCCCTGACAAATACACAGTCATTGACACACACTGTTGAACCAATGCACACTTTCACTGACAGACACACACTGATACATCCAGTCACTCGCTTTGGCTGCTGGGTGGGTGCGCAATGGAGGTGACCAGGGAATTCTATTCTTCTAGATCCGCACCCTCGTGCGCCGTTCAGTGATGCCAGGACTGGAGTGACATCATATTCCGGGTCATGGCGTCACTGCAGGGCGCATGAGGGATCTGAGTAAGCAGAGCACAGAGCTCAGCACTCCCTCACCACCCAGCTACAATATGCACAGCAAGTCACCTTGTGGGGGCCCTAAGGTGGCCAGTCGGCCAGATCTTTGGCTCTTCATGATACGAGGCTAACAAGGCATCTGCCAGGGTGTTGGGGGAAGGTTTTTTTCCCACCCCCGGTAAGTGTCGCCTAAGGCAAATGCTTTGTTAGGCTTGTGGTAAATAAATACAGCTCTGCCTGTGACGGCATGCAGGGCCCATTTTCCGTGTATATCCCTACGTCCATGGCTGGTCCAAGCATCTTCCTGGAAAGTCTAGGCTGAGGAAAAAGGGGGAGGGCTTGCAAAGGCTGCAGACAAGATATCTGCAGCATTTGAAAGCTGATTTTATATATACCCCAATTAAAAAATGCATAAGTAAAAGCATGCATGTTTCTAAAAGTATTACTTTTCATGTATCCATTAAAGAAAAACTCCTCTAGCATTTTAAAAGTTACTATTTAGTAGATATACCCACAATAGAAACATGCATGCTTTTACTTATGCATTTTTTAATTGGGGTATATATAAAATCAGCTTCCAAATAGCACTTGAGCTAAAATTGCTCTATACAATATGATCACCCGCCCCCATTTTTTATGAGCCCCTGAATCTCAATAAACCCGTCCCTATCTCTAAAAGACTCGAGATTTATCCTCGATGCTCATCTGTAAGAAGAATTTGATTGGACAAAGCCCAGCGCTAGCAAGGATGTAAGTGTTGTGCAGAAAGGGATGGATCGTCATTAGCTGTCGAGGCCAGTACTACAGTTAATGAAAAGATAGATTTGGGCTTAGGAAATGTTTGTGCAGATTTCAGTAAATTCATATTTTATTCGTTTGCAATGAATAATTAAATGCATTAAAAAAAAAGTAATTAGCATTTTTGGACGTAGGCGAATTTTGCATGCACATAATGTAACAGAGAATCATGGAAAATATAGTTACGACATCTACAAGACGTGTCACCTAAGACAAAGTTTCTTTTAACTTTAAAATCTCAAAACACTCCGTAAAGAACCACTATAGTGTCAGTAAAACAAACTCGTTTTCCTGGCACTATATAGTCCTTAGGCCACCCCCCACCCTCAGGGCCACCTTCCCGCTGGGCTGAAGGGGTTAAAACTGGGTGACTATAGTGGTCCTTTAACACCACAGACCCCCTACCTTAACTCCCCCTAAACCCCAAGCTTATCCTAACCCTTGTCCTCCAACGGTCCTGATTTTTGCTGGATCATCCTGATTTGGAGCTGAACAGTGCCCTCTGCAGGTCATCCCAAGTATGGCTGCTGGGAGACTGTAATGCAGCCAGGCTTGCCCTACCCCTTTCTGGATGGAACCTCCTATTTTGACATGACCGTTATACCCCTGTAGGCCTACCTACCAACATACCAATTTCATACCAGTGTTGGAAGGATATACCTTAATCTCTCCCTTAGTAACATTGTTACATTATGTGTTGTTAATAGGGCTTTAATCCTGCTATATTCTTATGAACGCAGTGACGTTCTTGTGTCAGAATGCTGACTTTAAAATGTAAAGGACCACTCTAGGCACCCAGACCACTTCAGCTTAATGAAGTGGTCTGGGTGCCAGGTCCAGCTAGGCTTAACCCATTCTTTTATAAACATAGCAGTTTCAGAGAAACTGCTATGTTTATGAATGGGTTAAGCCTTCCCCCAAAGCCTCTAGTGGCTGTCTCATTGACAGCCGCTAGAGGCGCTTGCGTGATTCTCACTGTGAAAAATCACAGTGAGAGCACGCAAGCGTCCATAGGAAAGCATTGATAATGCTTTCCTATGCGACCGGCTGAATGCGCGCGCAGCTCTTGCCGCGCGTGCGCATTCAGCTGACGGGGCGGAACGGAGGAGGATCGGAGGCAGAGAGCTCCCCGCCCAGCGCTGGGAAAAGGTACGTTTTTCCCCTTTCCAGAGCCGGGCGGGAGGGGGACCCTGAGGGTGGGGGCACCCTCAGGGCACTATAGTGCCAGGAAAACGAGTATGTTTTCCTGGCACTATAGTGGTCCTTTAAGTGCAGACATATATTCTGGTTTTACATGACTGCAATGCATTAAAAATGCTGTTTTTGAATATCATAGTTATCTTCCTTTTTTATGCATTAAATATTCTTTAATAACATTAATTAGCATGTTAGCAGCGGTTTTACTCCAATCAATAAGCTTTGGGATACATGAGCTGGCACAGAATTCATTAAAGTGCCCTACTGAGCACTATTGATTGGCTGCCCCCCTCTGTTTGCTTTAAACCTGCAAGAAAATGGATATTTACTCACCTGGAATCCAGCATTGGGTGCACTGACTTCCATGCCACCCTATGACATCAGCCAGGACATTGCACGGCCCAATGACAGGCTTCTCATAGAGTGCATGCCCGCAATTTGAGCTGGTGAGGGGAGGGGGAGTAGGAGGGATGGAATTGCTATTTTTTTTAAAAATTTACTGAGGAGGGGTGGAGGGAGAAAAACAGTCAATATGTCCATTGCCGGTGTACAGTACGTGCTGACAACAGGCATATTTTATGCACAGCATTGACATCAGGCAGACCACAACAGAGTTGTAACATTTCAAGCTAAACACTGCACATACATGCTCCTACCAACATGACCATTTCAAATCACTGAAGTGGTCATGGTGTTTGGAGTAACCATTTAACTAAGTAAGACAACTGACCTTTAACAACTGACAACTGAGTTTTACTTATATAGAGCTCAAATACTGTGCTCTTACTCTACCAACTTGAACATTTTAACTTATTCTTCCTAGACAACTTACTGCTAACACAGGTGAATTAATAGAATAAGAACCCGTCCGCCTTCCATCAGAAATGTCATTCAGGAGCGGCTCTAGACTTTGCAAGGCCTTAGGCGAAACTCAAACATGAGACCCCCACTAACACCATTAATGAAAACATTAGTGGTTAACTTGAGTGTGTATAAGGAGCAAGCTGCCGGGCCCCCTCCTGATGTCTTGTCCTCGGTCATGGACCGAGGACCCGACATGTAAGTCTGCCATAAGCCGAGGTCTTAGACGGCCGCCTAAATCGCGTAATTAGAGAATCCCCTCTTGTCATTAAAGGACCTACTGGGGGTGATGAGTGCAGAAGAGGTATGTTTATATACACACTTACCTCTGTAGAACTTCTGAAAAATAGTTTATGTAATAGAACCATGGGTAGAATACTTCTTCCAGAGGGCTATGTGCATGCATTCAAACTATGGCATTCCTCGCATGACGACGTTTATGGTTAATGAGCATTGATGGATTACATCCTATACTATGCAATGCCTCAAACGTCTTGCATATAGTACATTTAAAAACAGCCACGCATAACATTTTAAACAGATTAGCACAATACATAGCCTACTGTAATAGTTAAGGTGTAATGAGGTTTGGTTGCAGTTCCAACAGCTGTTATCAAATACTCTAGAGTAGTATAAAAAAGGGGGCTCTCATGGCACCCAAAATCAGCCTGTGTGTTGGGACTAAGATAATGCATAATATTCACTTTAACCTTATCTTTATAAATCGGTTGTCATTTGGATGGCATTGAGTGACTGTGAGGGCTTGAGGCAGGTTATCTGCTCACAGCCAAGTGCACCCTAATTTTTGTCAACTGCTCAGAAATGATTTGACAAAAACAGTGGTAACAAAAGACTCCTTGCACCAAAACAATTACAACAAGCTGAATTGGTTGTGGTGCTTAGAATGTCCCTTTATGGGCCGATAATTTGTCAAACTATTTAATTTAGTAATTGGTGGGTTCTTGCGATGGTCCGTTAAAAGGTTTTAAAATTGCTGGCCACGCTACAATTTCAACGTTATTATAAAAATTGCAGAACCAGCAGAATGTTGTCGGAATCGGTGATAAGCTAAGTGCAGTTGTCACAGCATCAAGTGGTACAGGGTTTTTTCTAGCAAAACATTTTTTTTAAAACATCAAATTCTATTATAAAAATCAGCCATTCTCATAATTTATTATCTAACCTGCAAATATTTCCGAGAAGTTCTGAGAAAATGCAGCAATCAAGTTTTCAGTTCTCAGTGGGATTTAAAATGCAAACTGTCAGAGAGAGATATTTTTATTCTGTATGTTAGGGCTGTCCAAATACTGTAGGGCTTATTCACCAAACATCAAATTGTATTAAATTGAACACAGATATGGAGCTTTCACACTCAAAATGCAGATTTAGAGTGAGCCGACTAGTCACAACTGCGCTATTTAAGCGGAACTTTTGCAATTTGATTTTCAGTTCAGTAAAATTTATTATTTATTGAATTAATCCCGTTGAGTGTGATGCAACTACCTGGATTTTCAATTAAAAATATGTGAGCGAAAAGCTGAATCAATGCTAGTACCACCTGTGGCTGCAGTTATAGCTGTGAGTCTTTAGAATACGTCTCTATCAGAATCATATATCTAGATTCTCCTCTTGTAAATATTCTTCTTGACAAAATCTCATGGGGATCATTGATAAACAACAATTTTCAAGTCTTTCCATAGATTCCCTTTCAGGTTGAGACCTGGGCTCTGTCTGTGCCATTATAAGACATTCTGGTTCTTGGTTATAAATGATTCCATGGTAGCTCTGGCTGAGTGTTTAGGGTCCTCAACCCGCTGGAAGGTTAGGCTCTGCCCCAGTGTTAGATGTTTCGCTGACTTAATGCCCACCAGTCACTGAGATTTGGTGAGTGGATTCCTCTATGCAGATCCATGTTTGTGCCGAATTATTTACACCTTTTAATAATGGATTTAACATTGCTCAAAGTAATGTTCAAAGATAACGGTATTTTTGTTTTATGACCAACTCTGATTTTATTCAATATTTTATTCCAGATATATTGCTTTTTATAGCTCTTTGGTCTTTATGATGCTGTCTGATTAGATCATCTCGCTACCAAATTTTCAGAAATTATTTTTTTTAGTTGATATCATTATTGGAGTCGGGGAAACTCAATTTGCTTAAGTCATTCTCTGTTTCACCAGTGCGTATATAGGCAATGAGTAACAATAGGTGTGAATACTTATACAACCAAACATCTGTTTATTTAATACATTTAATACAAAAAAGATTGTGCACCTTCAATGTGTTCCCTTTCAGGTTGAGACCTGGGCTCTGTCTGTGCCATTATAAGACATTCTGGTTCTTGGTTATAAATGATTCCATGCTAGCTCTGGCTGAGTATTTAGGGTCCTCAACCCGCGGGAAGGTTAGGCTCTGCCCCAGTGTTAGATGTTTCGCTGATTTAATACCCTCCAGTCACTGAGATTTGGTGAATGGATTCCTCTATGCAGATCCATGTTTGTGCTGAATTATTTGCACCTTTTAATAATGGATTTAACATTGCTCAAAGTAATGTTCAAAGATTACGGTATTTTTGTTTTATGACCAACTCTGATGTTATTCAATATTTTATTCCAGATATTTTGCTTTTAATAGCTCTTTGGTCTTTATGATGCTGTCTGATTAGATCATCTCGCTACCAAATTTTCAGAAATTATTTTTTTTAGTTGATATCATTATTGGAGTCGGGGAAACTCAATTTGCTTAAGTCATTCTCTGTTTCACCAGTGCGTATATAGGCAATGAGTAACAATAGGTGTGAATACTTATACAACCAAACATCTGTTTATTTAATACATTTAATACAAAAAAGATTGTGCACCTTCAATGTGTTAACTAACTTAACTTCCAAGCTGTCATGCTCTGATATATTGTAATATATACATGGGAGGTGAATACTGAAAGGAACACTATCGGCTCCAAAACAACTTTAGCTGAATGAAGCTTGTTTTGGTGTAGAGATCATGTCCCTGCATTCTCACTGCTCAATTCTGTCAATAGGAGTTAAAGAGCCCTAGTCACACCTCCCTGCATGTGATTTATGCAGCTTTCCCAAAACACAACCTGAAAAGGAACCTAGAAATTTTAAGTTCCTTTAATCCACAGTCTGTTTAATTTAGAATTTCTTATCTCCTGCTTGGTTAATAGCCTTGTAGACCCTACAGGAGCCTCATGTGTGGTTTAAGTTCAATTTAAACTTCTAAAGGAAGTTAACATTTGATTGAAAATGAAACAATGCATGCTGTGTTAATCACAACCAGGGGAGGTGGGTCTAGGGCTGCATAAGCAGAAATCAAAGTGATTTAACTCCTAAATGGAAGAGAATTGAGCAGTGAAACTTCATGGGCATGATCTGTACAGCAAAACTACTTTATTAACCCCTTAAGGATGCCGTCCTTTTTGTGGTGGTCCTAAACGCCGGCGGGCGACATAGAACATCCCCGCCGTCCTTACTACTTACTAGGTCCCCGGCGGTCACGATCCTGAGGTCTGCCTGGGAGCTCAGACAGACC